ACACCAGTTTTTCCAGCAGCATGACCGCTTCAGCACCACCCTTGCTTTCCCACATTACTGTCTTGCACCGGTTTCACATTTTCAGCTTGCTCAAATCAACAACCGGTGATCCACTCCCACGATCCAGTGATCCTTCGCTCCGCCACCATGGACCCGCAGTGGCAGCAATACTACTGGAACCATTATTTGATGCAGCAACACCATCAGCAGCTCAACAACCCAGATACCACAACTTCTCCTCCTACCACTGCCCATCACACATACAGCCCCACCGGCACCTACGGCCCACTCACTCACGCACTTCGCACACACCACGTCCACCACTCCAACCCTTATGTGACTCCACCGTACACACCGCCATCGCAGCAAACACCCCCATCCCAGGCATCCAACTCCCAGCCAGATTTTCCACCTCCGCCGCCGCCATCCCTGCCCACGGCCGAGCCTGTCACTCCACCACCATCGACCTTCAAACACAGCCCCCCGCCACCAACTACAACACGTGGCACCACAGCGCACGCCCCACCGCCGCCGCCTCCCCCCCACATCCCATCACCCACACCACCGGTTCCTGATTCCTGGAACCCCACCGAGCAACATTGGGATTCCAACACCCTGCACGGCCATCAACTACATCGTACAATCCAACCCACCCAGTGGTCTCGCAAAGCAGGAGTGGCCGGCCTCCCCACATTTGAGGTCTTCCCGTGGCAATTGGCCTACCACGGTACCTCTGAGTTCACCGCCCGCACACTGAGCAACGGCAAATTCACAGGTTTCATTGCCACCAGAAGCATAGCGGAGTCGGTCTTCGTAACCCTTTTTCTCCAACAACTCCGCGAGCACCGCCTTGACCTTGATGGCATCGCGGACGCTCTCCACAGACAACACAGCACAGACGTTCCCAACAAAACTACCCACGCTCGAGCTTTTCACGCTCCCCTCATCAAACTGCTTATCGACCAATTGCAAACCCACTCCCCAGCACCTGCGGAAGGCTCCGCCCTACGCGCCCTCAAGACCACCAACGACGAACTGGCTCGTGCACGTCAGAAACTCCAGGATCTGGGCAACCCACTCACACCAGTCAAGAACACCGGCCGATCTTCCGCACCAGCTGCCCCTTCCCACGCACCCACACCACCCCCACCGAAACCACCAGCCATCACCGACGTCTTGCAACCGCCACACCCCACTCTGCAAGACGACATCCCCGAAGGCTGGAACTACCCTGAGATCCAACAATGGGTCACTACTTTCGACCCCACCATCCAAGAAGCTGCGACAGACATTATCCGACTGCTGCAAACCAGCAAGGTCACCACGCAGCAGCTAAAAGAGGCAGCCACCAAATATGGCCTACCCCTCAACCGAGTCAATCGACTCCCCATTCGCAGCCTACAACAGCTGGTGGGAGTAGGAGCAGCCATTGGCTGCTGACTCGCCATCGTGGCCCAGCAGCAACCCAGCCACACCAACCTCACCCAACTCTTCCACCTGCACCGCGCACTTTCCATCCTGATCCACCGCACCCAATACATTGACCGCGCCGAGGCTATTTTTGCAACCGGCCTCATCCATATCACGCTACTTTTCGCATATCCCTCCAACACCCGTCGCTCACAACAATGGCGCAACCGCCTCCGCCAGCTCCACATTTTACCACACACCTACCACTACCACAACTTCCTCTCTTCCAATTCTGTCTACATCAAGCTCCACTTCAATCCAGACCAACCCCAACGCTGCTACCACCAACACGGCCACTTCTACGTCGGCTCCACAGCTATCGGCATCCCCCACCGTGAACACAATCGCCGTGCCAAACTCAAACAACTTCAAAACAACATTCCCATTTCTGCAGAACTCTCTTTACGCTATTGGCATTCCCACAACAACATCCACCACTACACCACTATCCAACTCACCTCCCATGACACTTACGACCAAGCCTGGATTCAAGAGCACCACTACATCGCCAACTGGATGCCTTCACTCAACTGGCCTTTCATTTCCCACCACCTCAAACTCAAAGCTCAGGGATGGCAGTTTTCGAAGCACAGAGCCCACTTCTACTCCAGGCTAGCCACACACAAAAGACTTTTCCGACGCCTTCGCCAACGCCAGCACACCCTCAGAGAACCACACCTTTACACTTCTACGAAGCATCACGCCCTCCAAATCCTTCGCAACCTCACCAAACACACAGCAGCCTCTTTTGAGGCAGCAAAGCAGCTAAGAAGCGGCCGCCACACAGACCTCGAGGTGTACGCAATACGGCGCATGGCCGCGAATTTGGAAGAACCTGGCCGCAGCCGAGCCCTCCACATTCTCAACAAAGCCTTGATCTACCGCAACCTTACACCACCAAAGCCAAACATCCCATTGACGGTGCCCTTCTTGGCCCATGACGACTTTCCCAAGCACTGCCAACAATGGCTTCGCACTACCATCCAGCAACACAAGCAATTCACAATACCCCTCCACCTCCCCTCACACAGACTGAGGGAGGCCGCCCACAAAACCCTGCGCTCTCACCTACACAACCACCGCACATGGGAGGACACCCTCCATTCCCCGCCAAACCCGGCAGACCTCCCCTGTGCATGCGATCACCTTCGCACCCTCCTGCAGGATCCAGAGACCCCTACCGTCAATGGCCATTACATCCTCACACTTGATCAACTCCAACTCCCTACGCACCTCAGCATTTTCCTCAACGCCAACATGAACAGTACCTATTACCCCAGCAAGGCTCGCTATTTCCTCATCTTCAAGACGGCCTACACCAAATGGCTCAAACTACAGGGGCTCCCACCATCCCTAGTTCAACACCTACAACCTTTCCTTGAGCACCAATGGCGCCTCCACAACACACACCTCAAACAACAACCCCGATTTACAGCTCGCCTGCTTCGCCAGCTCCAAGAACATTTGGGCAAACACACATTGCTCCACCATGCCGATCATGAGCTCCAACAACTTCGGTTGTTTTGCCCTCGCCAATATTTCACTGGCGCCTTGAACACCTGGCAATCCCCCGAACTTTTCGAACCACTTCCCTACATCACTGCCGCCAACATCCACGACCACCTAGCCGCCACTGTCCCCCCCATCCTGCGCACTCGCTACAAGTGGGGCTTCCGAAAAGACTTCAACATCCCCTACGGGGTTGTCCACCTCAAGGAGAAGAAGCACTGGCAAAAAAGGCCGTACAATCATCTCATACTTCCACTCACTCAGTGGCAACCTGCTACGCATCACCAGCCGTGCCCTTGACATCATTCTCCAACACCTCTGCCCTCAACATCCAGGCCAAATGTCCATTCCCCAGCTTTGGCACCACTTTCACAGTTACCTCACCCAAACCCCACCAGACATCTCACTACATGCCACCAACGACGACCTGGTTGGCTTTTTCAACTCCGTTCCCCAGCACCGGCTGATCGACGCAGTTCATTCCCTCGTCCATACTGGCAGCAACAGCAATCCACACACACCCTAACGGTGGATGTCCAGGCCAATGGCAATCCCTTCCACCACTCACACATTGGCCGACACCATCAGAAACACCCCACCCAACGCACCATCCAGACTTCCGACATTACCACCATTGTGGCTTTTGCCCTCGACACCTGCATTTTCCGGGCTTGCAACAACACTTACAAACAAATCCGAGGGGCCGGGATTGGATCCCAGCTCTCTCCCGCCCTATGCAACGTTGCCATCACCCTCATTGAGCATTCCTGGCATCAGATCCACAACAACCTACTTCAACACACAGACCTCCACTTTACTTACTATCGCTATGTCGACAACCGCTTCATTGTCCACAACGAACATTTCCTTCAACACCCGGCTATCCAAACCCTCATCCACCACAATTTCTTTGGCGACCCAGTGGAACTCGAGCCGGTGGAGGACTTTCATCTCCTCGGTTTCAACATCGACCTCCCACAACGCACCATCACCTACATGCAACCTTCACAACCCTGGAAAATCCGGGACTCCACCACGGCCGGGAGCCGGCGCTTGGCTCTGTCCGGCCTCCAATCACGACTTCACACTATTCAAAAATACACATTTCCACCCTCCAGCGCTGACCTTGCTGCGGCTGAACTCGTGAACCTATATGTCCGAAAGGGGCATGATTACCACGCCTGCCACCGGTTTTTGAAAAAAGCGCCGAATGCGGCGATCTGTGTGTGTCCCACCCTGGACAAAGGGTTTTTCCACCACCTTCGCTCCACAAGCAGGGGGCAGGAGTGCCATTGCAAGTCTCCTGCCAACGAAGACGCTTGCAATTGGCAGTGAAACCAGACCTGATCAGTCTGGCGTACCTGCTTTCAACACAATGACTCCACTGGTCCACCCTGCCGCTGTTTCTTTGTTTCCATGGTTCTTCATGCTACCACCCCCAAACAGGTTTTCCCACCGCAGATTCGCAGCAGATTTGCCGCTTTGCCGCCGTGCGCTTTTGTTGACAACCATTTGTTCAAACATCTACAATTGCGCTGACTTTCCACCTTACCGTTTGAGCCATTCTTTTCCTCGAGAGATTGCATTAACTGAAAATCCAAGTTCGAAGTGTGTGCGTGTGTGTTTCATACTACCACTTGACGCTGACGCCGGCGAAAATGGTTCGTCACAAAGGGGGGGTTGTCATAACAAGTACCTCCCGCAAGTTTGACAGGTCTTCGAAGCGCATTGATTGAAGCCACAACACTCGAGAAAAATATACATATACAATAGTATAGAATAGTATGTATAATAGTGTATATATATATATATATACACGACACCATATCAACATATTTACCTGAGAGTCATGCGGGTGAGATAATTTTCCAGACGTATGACGTATTATGTTTATTTCCACTTGCTTCGGACCTCGGACATACTTGGGACATGATGATAAAGGTGAGCCAAGAATCACTGTTTAAAGCTCAAAGTCGCACCCACCAAGCATGCAAGTTTCCTTGCGAAGGGTTGGCGCTGAGGAACTCAGGAAAGATTACGGGCTGTTTTGGACTTAGTTTTGAGGCAATTCGACATGCGTTCTACAGCAAACTTTATGAATTCATTGACCCCTATTGGTCGAGGTCAAACGCTATGGACTTGGTGATGGTAGTTGGTGCCAGGGCGCTTTGAAAGAGCCCGGTGCCTCAGATGCCTCAGACGCAAGAGTTGGATTGCTTAGTTCTCCGTTCGGCTTCAACATGCGCACATTGCGTTTGAACTCTTGATGCATAGCACACCGCAGCATATCCTTACTTTACATTAATACCTTGCTGATCTTCAGCGGACGCCAGGATCCGTCCATGCCGACCGCAGCTTGGTGATCCACGCCCTGAAGCTTGGAGCTCAAAGTTCTAACTTTCGGGTAATATCCTTTTCGAACATGTTGCCCCTTTCTTGTTTCTTTGCCAGCTTTGATTACGGCGCGGCAACTTGAGGGTTGCAGTGTCGATGACCCGGTGGATTGTGAGATGGGCGAGCCCTCTCCTCAGCACACTTTCACTCTGGCAGAGTACCAGTCAATTTCGAACCGGCACTTGTCAGGTGGACACGATGGAGCAGGCGTAAATGCACTTTATGCCCCTATACTGGGAACATTTTGGATCTTGGCTTTGAACATCACTTTGTTGTGACGGACTTCCCGTGCCGTATCTTGCCACTACACATCAAGGGATCAATTAGGGACAATTATGGGAACATGTGCCTACCTGTGCTTGATGGTGGGCTTTTGCTGAAGCCTTTTGAAGCACTTTTGCCGTTCTTGTTTTTGTTGTCGCAGTTGCACTTCTGGATGTGATGGTGGAGTTCAGAGACGCACGCGAGTTGTGGATCAGCGTGGCAAGCCAAGTTGGTTTTTGGCGGTCTCTGGTCTCAAGGTTACAGGTGAAACGATTCCAAGTAAAACGATTCCCAAGGAAGTTTCTAGTTACCACAGAGCTTTCTTGTAACTAGTAGCGATGGCCTCCAACCTAATAGAGATGATGAGATGACCTTCACCTAGTAGCTTCTAGTTACACAATGTTACACATGTGACGGATAAACGCTAGGATTCGAGAGATTTGATAAGTTTTGTCGGGTGTGACTCATGTTGCTTCGCGGCAGACGCCCTCTTTGCCCAGCTTTTGGCGCATTCCATTTCAAGCTACACGATGTCTTCGTACGCTGCTTTTTCAAGTTACAAGTCTAATTCTTCAGGCCCTTACGGCCCTTACGTTGCATGTGCTATGCTGCTCCAAAAAAGCAACCACAAGCATCGTCAAACACATTCAAACACATCAGAAGTCACATCAGATTAATTCACGTTCACCGAAGGCAGTCATCATTGTTTCTTTTGGTGTCCTGCCCTTTCGATGACCTCGCCAAAGCGCATGGCACAGCGACATCACAGACGTAATTGCACCACCGATGCAGCTGAGCAATGGCAAGCTTCACTGGCGCAACTACTCATTCCGCTCACCCCCAACATGTCCTGACATACCGCCTTTACTCATACTCGAACATGCTTCCCCTTGGCCAATGACACTGCTCTTTCTGCTACTGCTGCTGCTGCTGCCTGCTGTCTGCTGCCTGCTGCCTGCTGCCTGCTGCGTGCTGCGTGCTGCGTGCTGCGCGCTGCGCGCTGCGTGCTGCGTGCTGCATGCATGCTGACTGGCTGGCGGGCTGGCGGCTGCGGCGGCTGCGGCTGCGTTTGCTGCTGCGTCTACTGCTGCTTCAGGAGTTGCAAGTTGCACATTGACATCGAGTCCGCAAAGCGCTGCGTGTGCCATGCAGATATCAGATCGAAGCTTTCCTGCGACACCGTCTCCAAATTTCAACAATCAGCGGCGGCTGAGAAATGACACGATGCTCTTCGCGTGCCACGTGCCCATCCAAGTCAAACCCCTCCGATCTCCTGCGTTTGCCGCGAAGTCGCCTCAAGACCGGGTCGAAACACGTAGAATCTGCAGCGTCCGGCACGAGACGGACACCCCAAGTCCAAAAATGCGCATGGATCGAAACCGCCAGCGTGCGTCGGTTGCCTCAATTAGACACCGCTCTTTTGTTCCTACCGTATAAACTCTTCATTGTCACCGCAGTACCCGAAAGGACCACAAGGGCTGTTGACAACACGCCAAGCTGATGTGGACAAGCTGTGCTAAAGCATAGGCCATGGAATCGCAATCAGCGTTTTCTCACTGGAAGCAAATGTCCGCAGCTAGGTTTTTTTGTTGCTGAGGTGCTTCGCACGGTGGCCGTGGCTGTTTGGCTGCGCTGTCCGAAGTCCAGGAATGTGCAGAAGCCTTAGGCAGAATATCCGGCCAAGAAAGTAGCCTCAAAAGCCTCCAACCTATTCTTTTCCGTAGTAGCAAGAAGCTACTAGGTGGAGGCCATCGCTACTAGTAATTGTCTACTAACTAGAAGCTTGGCTGCCTTGTTTTCACTTTCTCACTCAGAACCGTCACTTGTGCCATGGTGGGGACCAACCCACTGACTGTGAAGTTGGGCAATGGGAAGATTGGGGAATTTGCAAGGGCCCAAGAGTGCATGTCTCGCTTTGATCGCACAATCTTGTATAATTGATTACGGAACCTGTTCAATTCAGTATGGATTTCAATACTACTCATACTTTTCGCATACGTTTTGTCGCATGCCTTCCTACCCTGGACGAGGTGATAAGTGTGATGGAGAGAGGACAAGATTCCGCACCATTCTGCGTTAAGCTCCCAGATACGGTGGCGCAGGGGCATGTCATGTTGGTTTGTTTGACCACGAAAACTCAGCTGGCTGAAGTCACCAAAAAGCGCACTGCATCACAAGTACAAAGCGTACCTCACCACCAGCATTATATATCCCAAATCCTCCACAGCCACAGCCAAGATTTGGCCGTGGTTAGTTGCTGTTGACATGAGAAAACGCTTGATATTCAGGTCTCCTTCAGTTCTGACAAAGCCTTGAGAGCACTGTCCTTCTCAACAAACATTGAACGATCTAGGTTGACATGGCTTTGGACCCGTCTGGTGGCCAGATGCCGGCACAAGTGAAAACACACTGCCTCGAACAACTGTGTCGGCCAACATGAATCCCGCAATCCCGCCACTCGTTTGTAAATTTGTAAATTTGACAATGAACCAAATTCTTCAACACAGTACTTCGAACCAGAACGCCAAGCTCTTGCCACAAAATTGACCGATTGGCGTGAGTTCCGAATGATGCGATCACGAAATTCAGTGTCCGAAGAACCGTGGCAGAATCTCTGAAGTCCGGCTGTGACAAAAAAGGTTGTGCATTGGCTTCACTCACTCGGTTGAAAAGCGTGGTCAGAGGCATTTGCTCCTTGTCATTTGCTTCAGGCAGAGCTTCATGAGCCAGAGACCTGCAAAAGTCTTTGGCATCTCCTATTGTATACAGGCTTCCTCTATGATGTCTTTGTACATTTTTGTGCAACATCTTTAAAAGGAGGTTCTTGCTAGCAGCTCCTTCCGTGCACGGTCTTAACTTTACAGTACTCGATCTTTGCGCCATCCCCCTCTAGGGTATTCGCAGAGTTGTAGAAGGTCTCAAAAAGGCACATCTTTGTGACCCTCACAAGGTCTGCACAAACTCCTTGACGGGATCTCTTACCAGATATCTTCATAGGATCCCTGCTGCATCACTTTAAGACCTTGGTTCTTTACAAGACCTCTTAGAAGATTGCTTCACGTTCTTCGCACAGTATCCCCAATGAGATCACTGTATCTTTACGGTCTTCACAGAGAATCTTTCTGACAGACGCCTGCAAGAAAAATGTGTTTATTTTAATGATGTCTGGAGTCTAGAAGAAGTCCTTGGACAATCTCTTGACATGGCACTGTTGCTCCAACTCTACCCGTACCCCTTACGCCTAAGATCTCTTCACATTGCAAGATCTAGTTAGGATTTCTCTAGAGTACTGCCGAAGATGGGGGAAGGAAAGTAGCAGCAATAGGGAGGACCTTGTCACCAACCTGCGGCTGCATAGAAAAACTTGTAGGCCACCGATGGTAGCCGACCCATTCTAGGGCATGTGCACTTAGAACATCCAAGACAAAATCCAAAGTTCGAAATCCAAAGTTACTTGTTTGATGATGTTTGATGGGCAAAGGTCTGCTTTCAAGCGGAGTGCTATGCCCATCGTTCCCAGGAGAGCAACTTCAAAAACCTCTATGATGAAAAGTATACTAACTGTCAACTCACATGCTTTCGCGGAAGTCAATACGCGAAAGGTTTGCAAAAGCCCCGCAAAAGCCTCGATATGAACCAGTGTTGCGAAAGCTTTCGCGAAAGTCGGATTTCTTACTTGCTTGTACCCCAATCGATTTTTCCAATCGAAAACGATTCCGCGAAACCCAAAACGCAGGTCGCGAAAGCTCTGCGAAAGCAAACCTGGAGTATACACAAAAGTATAGGCGGTTTTTGAAGCCGCTCAGGAGAGTTGGAGAGGAGTTTCACTGTGAAGGACCATTTCCCGCGGGGAGTGTTTGGGAACGCAGCTGCATGTGTGTCTCTCACCCTTAGGCGGTAAGGGCTTCAGGAAGAAGCTGCCACATGTTATATTATATACATATATGTGTAACTAAAACATGTACATATGTAAATGGATATGTTTATAAATTTATACACATATATACATACACATAATACAAGAATTTACCGCATCGCCGCGAGAACTACGCCCCACGTCACAGTGCGAAAGCTGTTTGATACTGCTTGATTTTTGGCACAAGAAGGCAGCTCAAGCCACCTCCTACACATCAAGAAAACACATGCGCCGAAGTATGGTTGTTTCAATCATTTCTTTTCCTGAATTGAAGCAGCTATATACCTGTGATGTTGGGTAACTTACATGCACGGCATATACTACGAAAACCCGCCGGCTGAAATTCCATGAATATGTGCGAACAAAGGTATTTGGTGGAATTACGTGGCACTAACTTTGGGCCAAAGTGCTTGTTTTTGGAGCGCTTTGGGGAGAGTTGGCGGTGCTGGTGACGCAAGGATTTGAGAGATGGATGGATGGATGGGACGCTGTTTCACATCGAAGATGGTTAGCCAGACGAATTAACGCCAGTTGTCAGTTGTATTGTTTCATGAGTTTACGAACGGGCGACGTACTCACAGATCAGTCCAAGCGTGCTCCAATCCTCTTCGTTCAAGATCGATGTCTCTTTGACCGCAAGCTCATGGTCCTCTTCACTTTTGGAGGATGGTGTGAAGGAGTCGGGGCCACAGGACATAGCTGAATTCCTGACGCAGGTGATTGAATGGAGTGGCCTTTGCCATCTCTATGGCTTGGCAAGACATTTGTTTGCACATGTTTGCCCTTCAAGCGAATCACCGAAGGATCATTTGCGTCCAAGATGATGCTTGTCAACGACATCAAGATTCTGTATCCCAAGATGATCATCCGACGATCCCGAACCTGCTCTCACGTTGCTCGTGGAGGCAGCTAAGGATGGCTATTGAAGGGCCTTTGACGAGTGAAAAGTGCCCGAAAGGAGTCTAGGAATGCAAGGGAGACCGACCGAGATTTCGAACCCTGGAAGGACAGGCAAGGACACTGCGGGCTGCACTTGAATTATGAAGCTGTGGTGAACTGCTTCCAGACAAATTGCAAGTTTTGATTTGGTCCAAAGCTGTTTACACTTGGTTCCTCTTTACACTTAACACCGTATTCAAGACTTGGTGGTAAAGAGGAAAGTAGCAATTCCACCATGTGGGTAAACAGTCGAAACACCGAAACCAGGAGACAAGATTCAAGGTTGAAAGGAATGTTTATTGGTGGCCGAGGCATTACCATTGAGGAGATTGTAGGTATGCTGTCCACACCATGCGATGCAAAGGCAAAACCGGCGCAAGGACTTGAACTTCAGATGTGCCTTACTGTCCCCAGCGCCAATCTGCCTTACTGTCCCCAGCGCCAACCGAAGACAAGACGCTCCAAGGTGAAAAAGAGAACCCAAGAGTTGCAAAACATGAGAGTAGAGTCAGGAGAAACTACTGCTGGCTTGCCCCAATGAGGTGGAAGCAAATGAGTTCATCCACCTGCGTGAAAGCAACCGCCCACCAGGAGTAAAACGTTTTAGTTTAGCAGCTTCAAAGTCGCTCTTCACGTTCGCTGTAAACCCGCTGTAAGCGATAGCCTTCCTCTAGAAGAGGGGGACAAAAAATTTAGGCAATCCTATGTGGGGTACCTAGATGTCAAGAGAGCGCGCTTTTATTCAAAGGTGACCAGGGAGGTTTATGTTGAACCCCCCAGCGGGGGAAGCCAAGACGGTGGCGATTTGTGAGGAGCCTCTACTATGGCGGGAGATGCGCCAATGATTTAGGGAATTGACCGCTGCTGAGTTCACCAAGAAACTTGGATTTTTGCAAGGAAGGCCATGCCATGCCACGCCCTTGTATTTAATTGCCATCAGTCTCACCCGGGTCAAGAACTTCGATCTGAAGTGTGCCTCGACGACTTCACAACGAATGGCAGTTATGATGACGTGTGAAAGGGCTTTACGAACCTGCTATGACACGATGGCAAGTCGTGGATCGAGGAATTCTCGGTCCAATTGGGTCGCCGCAAGCTAGCCAACAGTGTGGAGGGATAGGTCACATGAAGGAGTCTTGTGGGAGGCAGATTTAAGACATGCAGAGTGGACCGTTTAAGACACCATTGGCCAAGCCAACGCAAGAAGGGCTACTACGTGGATGCAAGCGTGTACCAGTCGATAACAATGCGGGCTGCGCTTTTGGCGCCAGACAGGCCTGACCTGCGAACTGCGACCCGCCCACCTGCTCAAAACCGCAAAGTCCAACTCCGCGGTGCGTGAATGCGTTGGTAATCGACCGCGCACTGCGTGGCTGCAACCTTTTGAATATGTCGTCAGACGCTGACCGTGCAGGGTGTGTCAGTGCGCGAATATGCAAGAGTGTTTTCGGGGGGCGCGCGTGTGGCGCGTTGTTCCAAGCTCGTGGCCAATGGAGTTCTCTCTTGCCCGCGGAGAGCCTGAGTACTATAGCTTAGTCTTGACGTGCTTCAAGTGCAAAATGGCAGGGCCTTATCTCCCAACAAGAAACGATTATGTCCCGCGGCAGCCGTTTTGTTAGCTCTGGGGGGAAACTTGACAGAGGCCTCAAGACCTCAAGGTTAAGGTGAGCAGATCGCCTTGCTGAGCATCAGCCTGTGGGTAGAATGGGCAGCATCAACTTTTGGCTTTTGTGACCTCGGCATCACGCAATGCTGAGGGAGTCCAAATTCTTCGTTCAACCAGGCTTTCCTCCCAAACGCGGAGCACCACAAAAACCCAGCCTACGCACTCTCTAGCGTTCTTGGATGTCAACGAGTGGCAATTGGAGTTGTATTCGCGATGCTTCAAAGCATGCCCTCCCCTGCGTTGTCACCAAAATCTTTGAACTGCAGTTGATTCGTGCGCGAAGGCTACGCATCCAACGGCGGCAGACCATGCGATCCAATGGAGATCAGAGAGGCTGGTGTGCCAGTATTGCCTGGTGCCAGTGCCGTCAATATTGTGTTTGAACTGTTATTTTTGGG